CTCCGGGTTATGGGCTCCTGTTTTATACGGTAAGAACGTAGAACTTTACAAACCCATAAACCTCCTTTTTTCGTCTTCTCCGGTAGCACCAGATGAAAATAGTACCACCCAACAGCAGCACAGCGACGGCAGCACCAACAGATATGTAAATCACCTTGCTACTCCTGGGTTTGTTAACTGTGAAATTTTGAGATCAATTTAGGTTTCTGGGAAACTGCCCGCCTACCCCTACCCCTAAGCCAACATTTTATCCTAAGTGAGAAGTAAGTGATATGGCTTAGGGGAGGGGTAGGTGGGCAGTTTCCCAGAAACCCAGATTGATCCGAATTTTGGAATGAAATAGAAAAGAAAAGATTGAAATATCTGATCACAAAGGAATAGTTAAAGGAGCTGTGTCACTGAATTAATCAAAATTCAAACAGTGGGAGCCATCACCAAACTGAGTAAAACATAAAATAAACCGCTCAAAACATCTGAAAAAACATGAAAAATTGTCAATATGGATAACACAGGAAATACAAAAGGAGAAACGGATGGGCAAACTTGAATAAGACTGAAACGGCTTTACAATTGTAAGCCGCTAACGGTTCTTCAAAGTTGATTTTTGTTTTTTGTAACGTTTGACGTGACGCTTAGAGATATATTTGTTTGACAAAACTCTGTAATGTTAAGTAAGTTGTAGCCTAGGTATGTCAAAGGGGTACTTCCCTTTGTCAATGGAAAGTATACGAAAGGGCTATCAATTCTGTCAAAAATCGAATATGAAAGGTAAGGGTTTGGACCTCGGGACGGAGCCTCCCCGTATAAAACTTTGGTGAGTACTCCTCCCCCCAGGGGAATCAGCAAGCTTTTGCCCGTTAACCATATCGTTATCCAATCCACTGTAAGTACACTTTAGCAATAGTGCAATTCACTACTTTAGAAACGAGAAGGAGACTGGACCGAGCTAACTTTCGCAAAGGCTTCTGGGATTGTTACTGTTACTAATCCCAGTAAGAGTCTCAGAACTCGGCCCACTTCCCTTCTCGATTCTAAAGCGGCGAATGACAAACGCAAATTATTTTTTAAAACACGTCATTGGCATACTAAAGAATATAGTATTTCTCTTTTACTAACCTTTATTGCATAAACTTCCTTCACAGCAGTGTATGAAGTTTCCATCCTCGGCAATTTTATTGCAATATTGTGGTTGAATGCATCCATATTGCTCTCCAGAGTAATAACACTTTCCATCGTTGAAAATGCACCCACCTACTGCGCATTCTTCAAACTTTACAGGATCTGTACATTCGTAGCACCGCGGACCTGAGTCTAAAATAGCGACGAAATACATTTTTTAAAAAGGGTCACTGTCTAACTGAGATAAAGAAAAAGTGAATTTTTCGGCGAGTTGAATTTTTTTTCGCCTTAGCCTATTGCAAGAATTGCGAGGAAAGTAACCGCATAAGGTTGCGTTCTTTCGGGATGTTCCGGATCAGGATCGGTGACCCGAGATCACTCTGATCATAGTGCATCAAAGCAACCGATGAATCCTTGTCCAAAGTGGATTCATTGGTTCCGCTAATGCATCATTACGAGTTACTTAGATCAATCATCTGGACTGAATGGTCCCAATGGATTCCATCCCAAGTCTTCTCCCCCACTTCCTGCCTCTCTACAATTCATTTATTTCGCGCCTCCTCAATTTTTTCTTTTCCCACAACGTCCTTCACCACATTTCCATTGTTTTCCCTCCATCGCCACCGTCACCTCTACCACTGCATTCTACATTCTACATTCTAATAATTAAGAAAAAATGCGTTTCGTGGTAGAAAGAGCTAGTTTACCTTCGCCCTCAGTAATCTGCACTAGTTTCGTGACAAGAATCGGTGAACCAGAGCTGGAACAATTCGTTTTCCTCAATGCACAATGAAAGCGACAGGAAATGAACTTGTATAATTACGTCACGACTCAGTGATCTTAAAGAGCTTAAGATTTGAGGACGAGAGCGAGTACGAGATTTAACTTAAAGTTTTTGTGCGTCAAAATGAAAAAAATCAAAATGAAAGTTTCTGGGGTGTCTTTTTTCACTAAAAAAGTTAGTACGGTTGTTTATACTGAAGGAGGTTAAGCACTCTCCCGACGGCAAAACTGATAAAACCTCTTACATTTGATTACTATTTCCCGCCACTACGACATTCTTGCTAAAACTCGTAGTAGAATGACGACAGCTATCACGTTTTCCCGCCAAAATGACGCTGGTTCACGCGTGAGCAATACTCAGAAGGTCTCTATTAAGTCACAGGCCAGTTAGCGCTTACTCCTTCGACAACATCATGAATAAACCAATGAATACTTTTGTTAGGTTTTAGTTAGCCAATCAAAAACCAAGGCATTCTTTGACCTAAGAATAATCTATAACCTGTCAAACCAGTTAATCCACCCTAAGATATCCATGTTGTCTTAATGAGATTACCACGCATTTAACTCATGATATAAAGACAAAATTCTAAGCTGTTATTGGCATAAATGTATTCCCCCGCAACTTAATGAGATTTCTACCGCAAAAATGAAGTCTTAATCATCCCTACTACACCACTTACGGCTAGGCTGCCTCTTTTTAAACAAGACTCAAACTATGAAAACCTCGTGAACCTCGTTCAAGGGTCTTCTCGTTTTCCAATATGCCGCCGCCATTTGAAAACGAGAGGTCCCTGGGAACGATATTGAAAAGTATGCTATTTCGTAAGATAAAAAATAATTTCTTCTTACTTGTATTACACTTGTCGCCTTTGCAGCAATCTACAATCTTTCCACTGGTTGCATTAGCATTACACTGATCTTTGGTAACACATCCCTTGCGATATGTCGTTTGTATTTTGCCCTCTCTCGTTCTCGATTCATACCTAATTCTTGCGCAGTAATGAACAGGTATGGGGCAATCTACGTCGTCTTGGTTATTTTGGCATTCATCAAGAGATGAACTGTTTTCACATCGATAGCAGGATATTGCTGAAACGGAGAAAAACAACAATTTCGAACAATTAGACCTAGAAATTTGCGGCGAACTCACTAACCCTAGTCACTTTTACTGACAAATATATGCTATTTCCCTTTAAGAAAGGATAACATTCGGGGACTTTTTATTTTCATTTTAAGAACTTTTTTATATGTCGCAGATCATTGATAAATATGCTAAAATAAATAAATACCGATAACTATATAGTGAAAATCAGTGAAATATTTCCCTGGTGGTCAATTCAAAAACTTTCAATCATTTTGGTATCTATCTGTTGATTTTAATTCAATTTAGTCCTGCTTTCAAACTTTTCTAAACATGATGAAAGTCATCAAGATGATGACTCGGCCATTAATCAGAGGGTTGACGTAACCTATATGTAATATCACATCATCACGTCTCTAAACTTCTTTAATCCTAGACCTTTTTTTATTTGATTGATACACTGCTGATTTGCCAAAAACAATTTAAAATCTTCCATCACTGTACTTATTAACAGATAAAGAAGCTTTGATTGTGCTTTGCTCTGTTGTAAAGCACTCAGGAAGCGGAAAGAGCACAAAAGATGTGTAGGGCGAACACGAGACGTAAAATAAACTATATTGGCAGGACGTGACAGCTTTAGCTCCGGCTATTAAGCTCTCATCGAGCACGCTTTATCAACCAACCAGAGTGCGCTTTGAACTTTATTATGAACATTATTGTTGCCAGTCGGTTCCAGAACAACCTAACGTGAGGTCAAACTGAATAGGGTTTTATGTACTGAGCACAGCATCCAAACTGTAATTCTTTAGAGCATGGATTTTGAGCTTTTCCCGCCTCACCTGTATTACACAAATCACCATGGCAACATTCCAAGCCTTCTTGGTTGTCAAGTTTTCTGCATAGTTCAACTGATATACACCCTTGTGCGGTGAATTGTCCATCTTTCGCGCTCTTATTACTGTACTTAAAACAGAGACTGTCTGGAAATGAGCAATTGACTTCAGTGGGAACAGATGACATTTTCCCTGGGCTCTGACAATGACAAACTTTCCCTAAAGGAAAAAGCAACGTTTTTTAATTCTGGACTAAAGACGTTAACACATTAGCAAGGCCTGAGGAGGAGAGGGGAAAGTACTCAACAAAATTTCATAAGGGGAGGCTCCGCCCCGAGGTGCAACCCTTTACCCTTTTGCCAATTTTTGACAAAAAAAGGGACCTCTTTCGCATATCTTTAATTGACAAATAGCACTCATTTTACATGCCAATTTAGAAAGCTGCATCTTTTTTAACTGCTGTAAATGTACCGCCCTTAAGCAGGAGCCCTGCTTTAAGCTATGAACAAGTCGCTAAATCGGACAGTTTTCTTGTGTTTTTCACAGCCATAAAATGCGCCTGGGACCGCAATGACTTTTATATACTTTAACAAGAGTAACCCCTACCCTTTAATATACCTGAAGCCTGAAAAAGGCACCTCTTTCTGGCGGAACCTCCCCATATAGGCCATTTTAGCAAGTACCCTCAGATACCAATCTTACTGATTGTTTGAAAGGAATTTTCATAATAAGAAGCATAGGCAACAGAAACGTTTTTTCTTCTTTTTATCCGAGCAGGGTCTGAGATGCCGTTGGTTTTGTGCTGTTTTTGACGGGGGTAAAAAGCCGAGGTGAAATTTTATATGAAAATAATGATAAGAAGACCTTGCTTTCCTCATTTGTTTTAAATTAAAGCTACTTCGTAGCCTTAAAATGGAAGTGTGCCACCATAATGAAATCACACCTGGGACGGGCTTTTCACAAAGATAAGCATGACTTTTGCCACAGTCACGGTCTGTCTTTCTATTATCTGTCTTCGAGATTGTGCCACATAGTTTAGATTTGTTTCCTTGGTCGATCCAAATGTCCTTTAAAATAAAAGAGCAAAACAGCAACTAACGGATGATATCAGTAATAATGATGATGATGATGACGATGATGATGATAATGATGATGATGATGATGATGTACTAACTATAGTTCTTTCCGTTTCTTTCCCCTGAGCCACCGACGTTTCATTGTCCCCTGGCTGGCTCTAATTTTTCAAAAGGTGAATAACTAAGCACTAAGCACCTTTGGAAAAAATAAGGCCTGATAACAGGGATGAGCAGTCCTAGAACATCATGCGAAGCTTGTCTAGGATCTGTTTCTATCACTGAACAGCGGTTGAGTCCACATTCATGCTAGTTAGTCGGTGATTGATTATAACATGTCATAAGGCGTCCCTCTATCCTCTGCGTGTATAGGTTCTCAGTAAGGTATGCTAACAGGTAAAGATTTAGAGGCATTTAGTACCTCTACAAAATACATCGTTTCTGATTGGCTGATCAATTTCCCGTGTATGTTCTCATAATCAGCAGAAGTTTATCTGAGAGATATAGGAAAAAACCAACGAATTCAATCAGGGTCATAGCCCTCCTCGATCTGCATAATTGTTGTTATCATACTCAGCTTTATTCAGTAATTGACAAATACTATATTTTTTTATATCCATATTTATTTCATAGTGCTACCTGTTTTTTGGTCACTTTTACTTAATTCAGCTACCTCTTTGAAATTAATAGTGTCCAATAGGCGGGTCAGGAATCCCGTGTCAGTTTTGTTTACAGTACTATTTATTTTCACCAAATTGCTTCCAGAAGCAGTGCAGTCCTTTTTTGCGTCTTCCCACGTTTTTAAAGTGCTGTGCTTATAGTAGCAGGATAATCCATTCAGATGTCCTTCATAATGATCAGGCGGGCAACTCAGTGGACCTAATGGATAGGACAAATTAAATATAACAGTTTCAAATGAATGTCGTTTAATTTTCAGAGCCGCCTGTGTCCCCTAGTGACTGAAAAATATCTTTCTCATGTATTCACCAGGCTTAAAATTCACCGTCACATCTCCATCATTACGTATAAGCACATATCGAGATTACAGTCCTTGAAGTATGCAGGATGTTTGTCAGGGGCACCCAACGACGGTTTCCTAAATAGGTTGACAACACTTTTTGGCTATCCAGAGCACTTTTAGACCTTTATAAGTGCATTCCAAAGCGGCGCTGTAAAAATTTTTATCTTTTCGATCATCCCAGGGGAACGTGAATCTTTCCAAATTACAAGGGCTTCAGTATGTTATTTTCCCGAAAATTTTAAAAGCGATTTAACGTATAACGAGAGTTATAATTTTTCTGATTACCCTCCCCATCACATTTTGGATCCGAAATTGTAGGGTTTTTTTCTATAAAAAATAGCCTAGCCTGGGGAGTGAAATGTGAAAAATTTAACGTCAGAAGATTTTAGGGAATTTATTGGACAAGCTTAGAAAATTGTACATGAATGGAACATTCAACTAGAAATTTTTAGCCGTCCCCAAGTAACAGAAAATTTTAGGCAATATTTGCTTCTCCGAAGGAGATATTTTGCAGAAAACATTCGCTAAGTGCCCCTGGTTTGTCACATGACCCTAGTTTAGTGGCCTTAGCACTCACAAGTATCCTGTAGCTCAGTGTTAGAGCATCTGTACTAGCAACCAGAAGCTCATACGTTCTACAGCATTTTGGACTACTCAGAGTTTTTTCTCTTGAGCTGCCTTTGCTACGAATGAAAAAACATCTTTCTCATAGATCCTTATCTTTCTATTCCTAATAAAATCTTTAACTATGCAGTCGATAACTCAACCAGTCACACTATCCATCGGATAGAGAACAACTGGCGTCAGAGCCTGCACGAATTTCAGCCGTTTTCTCAAGTCTCCCTTGGCAGCAGGGCTCTCTCTAGTCTGAGTATCAGGCCTTCCTAAGGGGCTAGGGGAGAGAAGATTTTAGATCTTTCCCCTTTTCCCCAGAAACGCCTGATACTCAGGCTTGGCTCTCTTCCCCGTAGGGGCCTCTTTGTGTTGTGGGGAGGCTGGGGAGAGGCTGGGGAGAAAGAAAAAGAAAGCGCGCACCCATCCCATCGACCCGGGGGCGGGGGGAACTCCGCATATGAAAGGGGTGGGGATGCTCGTCGGAAATTTTGAATTAAACCCCTAAAGGAGACCGATCTGGGCGTGGCCCAAGCGTTTTTTGACCCCTAAAAGAGACGAAAAAAATATACATATCAAATATATATTTTTATATTTTTTCGCGTGCAACCCTAATCGAGACCTTCACGGCTAAATATGATTGCGTTTTACCCAGAACACCCTAAGTGAGACCAAAATCCGAAATTTACACCCTTGAGCGAGACGACGAGCATCCCCACCCATTTCATAGGCGGAGTCCCCCCCCTCCCCCGGGCCCATCGTTTCCACGCGCTTTCTATTTTTTGTATTTTATAGGGATACCCAGCGGGAGCCTTTACGGAGGAGAGAGGCAGCAGGGTTCGAGACAGGGAGAAGGATCTCTTTCGGGAGTTTGCAACTCGAGAACACGGCTGAAATTCAGGCAACCAGAGCAATAGCTCAGGCTCTATGTGAACATGTTGAAACGTTTTTATCCAGCACGGTAGAAAAGTGTTTCGCATTGGCGAAAAAATTAGATCAAATACTTCAGCATTACAAAAGCATATGAACGCGAAATTTGTTTAATAAAAAAAACTTTACAAAAGTTGCATTAATAAGGATTTTTGCAAACATCAACGAATTCATTATTGTAAAGGAGCAATTAATTTGGCTTTATCAAATCCTTTTGGCAAATATTTCTAGGCATTGTTGTCCCTCGTATATAGGCCTGGTTACTTTCTTTACGTATTTAGAAGCAACTCACCTTTCGGTCTTTCACAGATGTAGTACTCGGTCTTCTTGCAACATTCAGTAAGGTTCCAGCCATCTCTCAATAGTTCCACACATTTGATCTCATTGCCATTAAGCTTACTTGTTGTGTTTCCAATCCACTCGACGGATAAAGAATGATTAAAAGAACTTCCATCGATCCATGAGTATATACCCTTCGGCAGTCGATGAACCAACCCAATCCAAGCAGATTGCGGGCTTTTTAAATCCGACGACGACAGATTTTTTACAAATTCCTTTTCCGTTTCACTTGTCATGCTAACAAGATAACCTCCATACCCCATACACGCGCGCGACGCTTTTAACCAACCGCCGAATATCTTGGAATTTTCAGTTTGCGGCATCACCTTGTAGCAAGAACGTTGAAACTCAGTCCAACCATGAGGGCAATGTAAAGCTATACAAAAATGAACAAATTAAAATTAGTAAAGTGATCTTTGTCTCTAACGTTAAATTTCTGCGATTTCCTTGTTTCAAATCGAGAAGGGATGGGTACTAGTCGGTTTCATAAACAACACCAGATAGAACACATTGAAAAACCTCTTTTCTTCCCGGCAACCGGTAGTCTACCACACATCCGTTTTTTATTCACCTTTTCTAGATTTAAATTTTTAATTATTTCTAAGCAGTTGTAAATTTTTGTTTTTACTAGCCTTTTCTTAGTTCTAGGTTATAGTTTTTAATAATACTAGTTGTAAATTTTGTTCTTTCTGGCCTTTTTAACATCTAGATAGAGTCTAATTGTAAGCCATTGTATATTGTAAGGCAGGTTTTATCTCTGTGAAGCACTATAGGGCATTATTTTCATCGATATAGTGCTATATAAGTAAATAATTATAATAATAATATATCATTTATTTCGAGTGACTTATTGTTTGTTTCTTTTTTACCAGCTGGTGATTGGCCCACAACCAATTTTCTCGGAATACATTGTTATTTTCATGTAATGCGATTGGTCAACTTTCTCTAAGTGGACCCAGTTACAGAAGTCACAGTAATTACAGGGCTTGTACAAATCTGGAATTGTTACACCAAAGTGAGAACAAAATGGCAATTTGTAACATGAGTGAAATCATACTGATCATATATGAAGTTCGGATGCAAAATCGAATAAAGAATGCAAAGAATTCACCATTTTCACATTCCCCATCATAAAACATAGGCATTGCCTTCAATTTCTCTTGGGACGACTATGATCTATGATAAAGCCTTTTCGTTCACATGGTTAGTATCAATGCAAAATTATTGGAACAAAAGAAAGCGTTCAACTACCACTGGATTGGTTTGGAACACCAACATGGCCGCCGTGACGTCATGTGTAAACGCTCTGAACAATGTTATGCAAATTCCTTCTTTTTTCTTTTTTCGCAAGCGGGGGGGCGGGCGGGGGGGACGTGAACAAGGGTTATAACAAGTTGGAATATGACTTACCAGCATGAGATATAGTTGTCACAAACAAGAGTGAGATGAACAAGTGTACATTGGGCATTGTGACTCAGATCTAAGGTGAGAAGCAAAGGATTTTTATAATAAGCAGGAGCCCATAACCCGGAGCAAGCAATTTCCATACTAGGCCTATGTCACGGCGTTTTTAGGGACCAGTTTAAATCTAGACACATTTTAGGGCACTTTTTCCTGCAAAAATAAAATCTCCAACAAGTCTATGAGCCCATTTAAAGTATAAGATATTAAAAAGGAAAACTAAATGTTATTAAAAGGCAAAAAATATCATTCCTAGGTCTGTAGGTTTTGCTGACTGGTTTGTGGAATTTACCAGATATTAAAAATTCACGCCACAAGCATTCTAAAAATAAACTGGTCCGTGAAAACGCCATGACACAAGCGCATGGAAATTGCTCGCTACAGATTATGGGTTCCTGTATGGTTGCTACAGTGTGATATTTTGCTTCAACAAATGACGCCATGTTATTGCATTTTAAGTGCACAGTAATTTCAGGGTACCCATCCCACAGTGACAGTCAATATGCAAATCGCAGCAAAAGTCATGTACAGCCTTTCGACCATTACTGCGACGCAAGGAAAAAGTTAGTTAATCGTCAGGCGAAGCTATTCAAATTGACGATTGCAAAACCAAGTTTTTCATGAAGCCACAACAGCGATAATTTTTCCTTGTCTGTGGGGGGTCTCCTTGCAGCTTTTGTGTTTAGACTTTGGTGTTACAAACTGGACATTATGCTTTGATATGGTTAGAAACAGTGGCTACTGCAAATACAGTTTCAAAATTGAACTGCATGAAATCCTAGGCAAGGTCGTGGGGAAAAATAAAAAGAAAAGAACATTTACAGATTTCAGTAAGACCCAGTGACAGTTGGTGAAGAAGTTTATATTCTTGCAGACCAGTTGTCAATAGAGCAGTTTTCACTCACTTGCCCAGCCGCTATGCAAATTAATTGCAACAAAAGAAAGTGTTTACATAAGAAAAGAGTTCAACTCCCACAGTATTGGTTTGGAACACAAACATGGCCGCCATTCCAGTGTGTTCTAGAACACCAATATGGCTGCCATGATGTCATGTGAAAATGCTGAATCACCTTTACAGTGCTCATCACGCGAGCACTGAAGATTTCCTTTTACTTGCTGTGAACTGTTTTTTATATCTACAACAAACAAAATTTTTTGTTACGCCCGTTATACAAAATAGGAATTGTTTGGACAGTTTTTGTCCACCAATTTCCTAATTTGAGAAAATCTTTAACCTATAAGATTGACATTTGTCGTGAAAGTATGTCTCCCCAACTGATCGGTGAATTTCACATCATCATTTCAACATAATATATAATGTTTTATCCTCTTTTAAAAGAAAACAAAGTTTGCGCCTTTTATCATTTAATCCACAGATCTCTGGAATAGAAAAGGAAAGTTTCAAAACCAAAAATCTCAAGCAGAATATTTTTGCAGGGACTAAGAGATATCAAGAAAAACACAAGTACACCACCTGATTATGTAGAGAACGTTCGTCAAGTGAAATGGAGGAGTCCAATGCCGTCAACAGGTGGAGTTGTTCAGGGCCCCAACTTCGCAGCAGTCACCTGTTGTACAAGGAAGTAATAACAGAGTTAAGAAAATGACAAGACGGATCTCGATCTTGCTTCTATTTTTAGGAAACTTGCTTCTTAAATTTTTTTGATAAGTTTGGATATCTAAGTTCTCAAAATATGAAACCGCTTTGATAGATCGTTGAATGCGGGTTGTGTTCTAAATTTTGCTTGGAATTTCTTGCATAAGATATCTTGTGCCTTCATTATTAAAACCATAAACATAATTCATCGTCAAGCGTTTGTTTGTCAATCCCATTTTGATTCTGAAATATGAGAAACAACTGCTTTCTTAAATTTATGTAGAGAGCAGTGTAATTCAACCTGTCAGTTTTTACCAAGTAAAATTTCAAAACTTCTTAATAGTAGCCAATGATAAAGCGAGTCAGAAAAGTGGCTACTAACAATTATCCCAGCTAGGAAATGCAAAATCATAAATTCCTTCATTCCAAATAAAAAAAAAGACATGGAGGTTTCTTGCATCATGAGCGAGTATCAAGCGATCGACTCTTCTCATCCTGATTATTGCATGCCTAAAGCAACTCCAGGGAATTTTGTTTACGAGCTGTTTGGCGAAATATTTTCTCGGTGACTAACATATCTTCTCTAACAAAATTTGTCTGATAGAGGCAAGAAAAAATTCACAGGGTTTGATGGATTTTGCTCCTTGAATTCGAAATTTCAAAGTTAACATTCCAGATTAGGCGGAACACTCGGTCCCATCCTAATCGAAATGGGGCTCACTTTTTGAAAGTTTAAATACTTCCTCCATTTTTTCGAGCAACACTGGTGAGGGCTCTTACACCTCCTCCTACTATTAAAAAGGCACTTTTGAGTGTTCATGTACATAGCACGAAAAAATACTAACTGAGCAGGGACACTAACTTGGCGCCGTGTTACACGGACAATCCAGCCACACAAAGGTCTGGCGTTTGCAGGGCAAAGGGAATACCTTCATTTCTCAGTGACTCAGACTGCAATAATGGACCATCTACCGACTGACCTAGTTCTGCTGCAGTTAAAACGGGAAAGACCGGGAAAGATCTTAGTCAGTTAGTGCTCTGCTGGGCAGGTTCAAACCAGCGTCCACTTGCTTAGCAGAGGGGGTACTTCATCAGCTGCGCTACTTGGGTGATGCAAAACTGCCGCCGCCCGCGATGACAGAAAAAAAATAATTAAAATTTTGGATTCAAAAATGTGATGGAGAGAGGAATAAAAAAAAATTCACTTTTAAGTAAAATGTTAAAAATAGCCTAACCTGGGGTTCGGGGGTGGAAACTGAAAATGAATAATGAAAAATGGGGTTTAAACGAAAATGAATAATGAATATTTGGAGTCAGAAAATCCGAATTATGAATAACACTGTCTAGCCTAGGATTAATGAACAACTCATAGCTGTTAAATGATCTCATAAAAAGCGGAAGACGAAAAGAAATAAGTTTAACTTATCCGCCCATCATAAAACATAGGAATCCGGCGAAACCAGTGAAGCAAAACAACGCGCAAACCCGAAATAAACCATTTGTGGTCTACATCTAGATAAAATAAATTTGTATACCACTCTCATCAAAAATACCATACCCTATTGTGGATCGTCTTCGTTTTGAGATCACCACTGGCCAAAACTGGTTTGAAATCGTTACAAACTTCCCTAGAGGGAACTGACAGAATCGAACCTGTGGGCTCCAGTTCACAATGTAGCCATGCCTATTGTATTATGCTCGTACCATAAATGTTGATTTTTACAACTTTACAACTCGTTGGAGTTTCCAGCCCTCAAGTACCATTTCAGTAATCAGAATTACTTTGGTCATATTTCCAAACTCTTGCTTTTTGGTGGAAAGATTTTCCAACAGTTCCTGTAAAAGGTTTAAACAAAGTCGTGACAATTATGTTACTTCCATTCCCACACTACAGCACTGATATGAAGTTGAGACAATGTTTAAACTGGTTTAACAGAAACCTGAAACAATTTTAGAGTGGTATTGTCACACGGTCTCAACATTGGCTCTCATTAATGGTTAGCGAATGGTTGAACAAATGTTGATAGAGGCTTAAGATGAAACTATAAATAGAAGCCAGTGTCCTCTAATAATCAACATATTGGATTCTATTACTTTAGTCATACTGAGATGCAATTGTCTAAAAAGTTGCAATCTTAGAACCTACCATTGTAATGTTCGACAGAGGATTTCTACATTGGCGATTGGACGATTTGGAAATTAATTTATGTCTCAGCGTCAAGGTTCCAATGAAACCTGGACCTGCCATTAGACAGGTGCGAAAAATCCGACCGGTAGTAACCTGGTAGGTGTGGCAGTACTAGCAGGTCCCATGCAAGCAACCAGCCTATTCTGCCTGACTTTTGAACTAAGTCGATTACATTAGGATTTATTGCACAAAATTTAGTGTTCGTTTCAGTTATAGTTTATTTGTTAGTTTTGGTTTTTAGTTCTTTTTACATTATTTTGACCACATGTGTAGAAAAAACAGAGGGGTACTAGTAAAGATAAGGTTGAATGTATACTGATGATGTAAACTTTTGATAACCAATGTATAGAATTGTAGAAAATTTCCGGTTAAAATATATATATTCCATATATTGTTTAATCTCAAGGTTTCTACCTCGTTTTTTCAGTACGATTCTCTTCCTTTGTGATAGAGCCAAAAGTTTCTTAGTATCACAGTTTTATAATTTTTTATAATTCACAGAAAGGGAATTTGAGAAGGAAAATTGATATAAATACTGAAAAATGAATAATGAATATCAAGGAAAAATTTGAAATGAATAATGAATAATCGGGAGAAAAGAGCAAAGAATTAACAATTAGTTCATGCTACAGCGTGCGTATGTCGAGATATTGAGCACGCGGGAAGTTTGGAGAGCACGAAAGAGGCGTAAGAGTTGCACGAGGCGCAACCGAGTGCAACTCTAGCCTCTTGAATGCTCTCAAACTTCCCAAGTGCTCAATAACTCGACACACGCACAGCTGCAGCATGAACTAATTGTTTTCTCTTTGATATCAAAGCGATCAATGCAGCAGTTAACTTAAAATTTTATTATTGTAGAGCGCGCTCAAAGCAGTACGCGTCAATGTTTACGTGACTATAATTTTTTCCCTCTCAGTAAATCTTATGTTTTTATCCTGAAACTGAGAGAAAGTGTACTCTAAAATGATTGTAAAATCCATATTTAGGTGCCGGAAAACTGTTAATTTACCGAAAAATTGTTATTGAGAGAAGGCAACTTTGCAAACAATGATCTCACGCCATAGCCCGCACTGCTCGCGGAGATGACAACAACAACAACAACACTCACCTCTTTTCCTTACTATCGGTTAACAAATTCAAACGTTTCCTTTTAAATTTTCTTATAAAACACATGGTAAACGCTTCATCGTGTACTGCTGAGTTATGGATGCACTCAGGAGACTCCCTCAGGATTGCTAAATTCACAACAACTCGAGGAATTACGAATAGTTGATTGACGTCATCAGCGTGCTCAATAGGAATATGAAGCACGCTCGCGCTATTGAATTTGATTAGGCGAATTTTGTAGCTATGTTATAATAATGGGTAACCGTGATTCAATTATTCAGCTTGCACCCCAGACTGGGGAATGAAATATGAAAACTTAAACTTCAGAAAATCGCAGCGAATTTAACAGCAATGGAAAGGTCATTCGGAAATTTTTAGCCCTCCTCAAGCCACAGAAAACCCTAGGCAACATTTGCTTCTCCAAACAGTTGCCCTTGTTGGGGCTTCCGTGTTCAAAGCTAGAATTCCTGTTAGTTTGCCCTTGGTGTCTCCAGCTCGCCTGAATGCACAAATAAACGAAGTTTCTTATAAATTTTTACGTGTAACATACTATTTAATTTCATAGTATACTGTTAGTACTTACCAGAACTGTGTCGTTGTCAGAGAAAGATTAATCTGACAGAAAATCCATCGCGCGAGTCGCCGTTTAGTTGACCAGAAAATCAGATCAGTCATGAAAGGTTTAATGAATTATACTGATTTGTTAAACAAACTGCAGTTGCCTCTTTGCGACCAGATGGCTGAATTTAACACTTTATACCCATAAGAACAGGACCTGAAAATATAAATGGAGGAAGAATGACAATTCTAACTCAGTGCCGCGGATAAAACGAGCGCTCCGTTCATTTAATGTATG